CCTAAGCTACGCAAAACGTATTAATAATCGAATTAACTATTAATATAAATTATGTTTTCCGAGGACTATGAAAAAGGTCCTCGGAAGGTGTGTATGTCCTCGGAAGTAGCTATATATCTGTATTTTTGTCCTCGCAACATATAGCAATCCAAGTACACACACACACACACACACACACACACACACACACACACACACACACACACACACACACACGCACACAAACATCACCAGTTATGTCAGTTCAGGTTGGGGGTTTACTGTAATAAATTATTTATTTTGAGAGAACTCTTTTTGAATATAATGTACCATTATATTGATTACATTACGTAGTCAGCCAGCATAGTTACCACTTCGTTTCTTTATATTTCATTTTTATGTTTCTTTTGTGTACTTAGTTGATTTTACTTATATACCCAGCAATATTGTACACGCCTCTTACAAAGCAGCATTTTTCACCTTGTACGGTGGGACTGATCATTCTACGATCAAACTGATCAACCACTGAATTGTATATACCCAACCTAAGAGCCAAGTGGTTATTGGTTTACTTTGAACATCATGTAAATATGTAACTGTCGTAACTGAGGTGGTGCAAGAACGGCAGGGATCTGATTTCTGTGTGAACAGAACCCATAATCATAATGAGGTAGGTGTTTTGACTGCATGGGCGATCAATACAAGTTGGTAAAGTCCACAAGAGCTGCCTTGCCTACTCTCACTGAGTTGAACTTGCTTACAATCTGAGCACAAGATGATATATGGCTTTCTCTATATGCAATACAATCAGTAATCCGGACATCATGCCAACACTTGTATGTAACACATGTATAGCAGGGTCTAAGAGACATTATGCTGTCTCACTGGAACAAGATCTAAGGCATGATGATGTTTCTCTAGGACAAGGTCTGGACATGAAATTGTCTCGCTTGGGTATGGTCTTGAATGAAATGTGCCAATATTAATTTGAAGATTTTCTTTGGAAGAAGTGGTCTGGGAAAAAACTTTTTTCTACTTCATTTAAAAAAAATCGTTTAAGACGTTTTGTACAGTACCTTGAAGTGCTAAGAATAGCAACACTGTGGGCAACTCTTCAATGTAATAATCAAAGTATTTTATGCAGTTTACTAATTTGCACATAGCAATTGCTAATCTCATCTCTCAAGCTGCAGTTATGTCATTTCGTTATATTAGTTGCGCAATACCCAATCTTTTTTCCATCCATCAGCTATAAATAAAGTTACGCCTTAACCTAAATTGTTGTGCTGTATATTTACGAAACTCCTTTAAGTAGAAAAAGTCATCCAAGGTATGTAGGTCTTCTGCTCATAGACAAACATGTTTTGAATAATATATCAAGTTAGTCTCAATCTAACTATATGAGTCAATGAAGCGAGGGTTTATATCTTGCATACTAAATAAACTGGTTCAAATATGTAATTGAATAGAGATCACGGGATGTTTACAGTAATGTTTACAATATGATTTTGATTTACTCAAATTGATTAATTTCTCAAATCTTACTGGTTTTGTATTACTGCTTCCTTTTAATTGTTTAATTGAGAAACCCTTATAACCCTTACATGGTAAATACGTTATAATAAAAAAAATGCCATTGATATAAGCAGTGGTGTTATTCATTGCTAACATGATGATGATAATGATTGAAACTTTTAATGAATGCTTAAAATAAGTTCACTTACCTAACTGCATATTCTGTATTAATGCCAGCAAATCTATAATTATCACAACCAATAAAGATCATTATGATAGGAAGTGGTACAACCAGAACAGCTACAAGGAGGACATTCCTAGCTGTAGTTAATAATGATGGTTTGAACTTCCGCATTAGTATGCCTCCAACAAATATTCCCAGTCCGCTTGGTATAATAAATGCAACAGCTGCAACAATATAGAAGTAATGAATATGGATTTGCCAGTGAGCCTCACCATCCACGATATGTGTGATACATAAGGCTGGCTCCATGTGATTGTTTGAGTATGATTTCAAAAATCGCGCCTTAAGTCACACAATATTATGTTAATACAGTTTTGAAGCTATAAGAAAATGCCAGCCCCCGAGAAATAAGAAAAATAAATAACTTTGTCTAAAGTCAAATATGTCAATTTTACTTCAAATGACCACTCATGAGTCGCTTAAGCCATTTAATCCAAAGAAGTACAATAGCCGAATTATTTATTCTTAAATATCTATAAAGCATATTACCAAAAGGCTTTCGAGTCTACAAAGACTCAATAACTTACGAACAAGGGTCCCCGCTATTGACATGGTAACTCTTAATTGGTCATGAATGAATTTGACACTAAAAGGCATCAATGCTGCTATCACGGCTATATCAACTGTACGCGCAATCATCACTGCCATGTAAGTCTTATTATACATTAGTCGCTTCAATGCCTGTGGCAGATCTGAAATGGAAATATGGATTACACATACCTTTCTATGCAAAGTGAACACACGTGTACAGCTTGTCGATTTGGGTGAGTAATCTGAAATCTAATTTTATATTTATTGTTCATTTTCTTTATTTGAGTCTGCTTAATATCGGTAATTGGTTCTCACTTTCAATTGTCTACATGTTGGCCACATCCTTTGTAATCTTTCAAGCATGTTTTTCAGTGTTAATCATCTATTTCGTGTTTATATGGGGACAAAATGATCAACACGAGTTTGTATTCCAAATGCTATTATTTGATATGCTTGCAAAGTATGCATCACATACTAACATACATTGGAAAGAAAGTTTTTATTTCAATATATTTGATCACATTTGTAAAAAGCACAAATCTCCTACCCAGTAATGACCAGCTTCTAAATTATACACTTTTTATACTGTGCACATAAACCACTGCAAATATGACATACCTTTCAGCTTCTTGTTTAAAATAGGAACGACAGTGTTGTTCTCAATTACTTCTTGATTTGGACTACCTGAAATTTCTACTTTAGCATGGATCTTTTTCGGAAGTAACATAATCGATAAACCAACAATAATACACAAAGGACCATTGATAACAAAAGCGAGCCACCAAGCACCGACCCAGCGTGGATCATATCGACTGATATCGATCGTTGATGTGTTGACACGATAGAAATCAACGTACATGTTATTATATGCAGATGATACCGGGAAAGCTATGATTGGTCCCAATGCATACATAGAGATCATTGCACCTGGATTGAAGAATTAACAAATCAGTAGTTTGTAATGTTATTCATTGTTATTCTCATGTAATTATGTTCAAGCTATGTTATCAATGCAAACTATGTTAACAATAACATGTTCAATATACATTTTTTTCTAGTTACAACAATCACACTAGAAATGTGGATATAATACCCAGCCATGGATCACTGAATACATTGAATTGTGTTGGGAAATTAACAAGGCTAAAACAAGGCTAAATGACCCAAAAAATTGGACAAATACAGTATATATCTAATACAAATTTGAGATACTTTACCAATGTAGAAAGGGGCTTTATTCTTGGGAACATTATCATCAATATATGTGATCCCAAGAGTGAAGAGTGGAGATATACCAATGCCAAACATGATTATTCCAGTGAGTATTAGTACTAATAATTTAAGCTGCTCTCCATGTATAGTCTCTTCACTGCATCCTTTGGTTTCGTTGAAGGAATAATCTTTTTGAGCACTGCAGAGATCGAATGATTTCTTTTCACGGATAACGCCATATTGATATGGTCCCGACATGAATTGCAGAGTGCTGACAGTTAGCAGACCTATACCTCCAATCACCATACCACTTCCTATCCACCGTGGTCTGTGGGTATCTGGTCTACCACCTATGTAGGTTATTAGAATTAGTGGCAACAACATGGCTACATCCATGACAGTGAATGCAAGGCTAACTATAGTAGAGGGTAAACTGTAGCGTTTCTCCCAGTTGTTTAAAGCAGATGACATTGCAGCAAAATTTAAAGTCACGCACAGTGTTGCAATCACGAGACCGGCCACTGCAAATTGAGCCTTCGCAAACGCCTGCAGGCACCGAGGGCGCCATGTTCTTATTCCACAACTGTAATCATACTGGTCAGTAATAGACAGCGCAGAGACGACGTTGACAGGCATGTCATCAAGCAGTGACTGTTCAGTTCCTGTCGGAATATTGGCGTGGCTATTGCTTTCCATATCCATGTTTATATATCAATGTTGACAGAAATATCACCTGAAATATTAAGATGTAAACAATCATTTGTTCTGGTCAAATTTAACATCAGCAAATACAAATGCTTACTGACAGAATTATGTTTGTATGATTCGTGTTTGATCAGGATATAATTGATTAGAGGATGCAATGCTGCAAGTAGTCTGTCGTGTAATTTGATGCTATTAAAGTGTCTTATTACATCATTGTAACAGTTAGATTATCTGCTTGTATAATGTACTGAACTATGTCAAAACATTGGGCTTATATACATATACAGTTCACGGTATTTTGCGAATAATGTATGTAGACTTCACTCACTCAACACTGGCCAATTTGTCTAAACATTTGTCTGTCATTATTTGGAATTTAAAATAATCATTCAATGTTCCACTACAGTCACTTGTCGGGTAGGGTATCTGGGACCACTTGCTGAATGACCCCGAGATCACTCACAAATTTTACATACATAAGACAATGCGTGGGGTACATACTGCTGCCTTCATGTGTGTCCTGTAAAGGCACTTTCAATATTGTTGTGATAATAAGTACTTTTTTTATACAAGTTCACTTAACAAAATGTGTGTCTAGTAAAGGTATATTTTACAGTGCTCCATTTTTCAGTACACGTTTCTTGTCAAAGCACTGTCGAAATAGTTTTATTATAATAATTTACACTTTCTTGACATAATGTATCTGGATAAGCTAATAGACACTGTTTTACTATTTAACAGAAAGAAATGTTAATATAACTCATTTGCGATTTTAAGAAAAAAACACACATTTAAAATGATTTTAAAGTGGGACAAAAATTGTGTACAATTGTAAACACTTAGAATTACAGAGTACTGCTACTACTAAATATCTACAAATATCGCCCCCAGATAAGGAGAGTGACAATAGATGAGTTGCTTGTTACTGCCAAGTAAATTGCTAAACACATGCAAATATATACAATACTATCAAAAGTGATTACAAACTGTCTAGATGGCTAAACCATATAGATAATGAGGTTTGAACCTCATTGCAAGAAATAACATGAACTCGAAGATGATTGTAGTATGTGGGTTAGATGAGTTATTATCCACTCAGCAGCACAAACTTATGTCATCATTGGCTCGATGGTCTAGTATAGACCACGATGTTGAGGATGTTGTAAGAATAATTATGGAATGTATTGAAAATGATAATATTCCTATTTCTTGTATATTGCGGCCTAGTGCTTCAGAATCTTGGTAGGGAATTCGTATTGATTAAGCTAAAATCAAATTATTTCTACTGGTAGTAGACAGTCATTCAAAATGGCTACAATGTATTACTACTATGCTGCGATAACCAATGCATTGCAAACTATATTATTTGTGAGTGATAAAGGACCATAAATCATAATTCACATCAGGAGGATTTATCAAAGAAAATACATCAAGCACACATTATTTGCACCCTACTTTTATGAACACTAGCTTCGTGTTCAGGGAACGGCAACCTATTAATCATTCAATATCAGTTTAAAACGTGGATTCTGGGCGTTCACATAAGACATAATTCAACATCACAAAATAACGTTCATAATTCAACAATATGAAGCATGCATTATGTTACATAAACTAAACAATAGTGCTAAGATTTTGAAAAAGTTCATCGTCGTTGATTCCGGCATGCTATATTGAGAGAATTCGATATACGGCGTTAACTATGTGATACACGGTGTTTGTTACCTTAGGCGAGCGTTTCTGTCTGCATTATATACTAATAGCTTATTGTTCTACTCATGATTTATGTGTAGCGTAACGTCTTTCACCTTCATTGGATCAGTCTTTACAATGCATCAGTTGAAAGTGTTTTTCTTGTGTTTCTCATGGATATACTTGATTAAGTTTCTTGTGCTGTGTTGTTTCTGATGTCGTTCATGCTGATAAGCCAGTTCTATTTGATATTCATCCATCTTGAGGCTCTCATGAGTCTTCATCTTGTCCATGGTGTCGTTGGTGTTATTAACATGAACTTCGAAGGCCAGGGACTTCGACGAGCTGCAGATTACACATACGCATGGAGGTGCCGATTTCGTCTCCAAAGAATTAGTTCTTTACAGCTTTATTCACATAAATAGTCAGCTGATGTAACCCTTCGCTGTAAAGATTTCTCGTGTTTCTACCCCTTACAAAGTTAAAAAACTCTCTCTATTTAAATATGTCAGTCGCTGATTCTAAAAACCAACTTTTCTATTTCTTAATTAGTTTAAAATGTGCCTCTCAAATCATATTCAAACTCGCAAAATGTAGGAACTATTCTAAAAGCAACACGTTAATCGACAATTCTGAAAATCTCTTAGAACAATGTGGACAATATCCATCCCATCATATTCCGTACTCATTAACTTCTTAAAAACTTAATAAAACCTTAAAAAAAACATAAAAAAACTATCTGTTGCAAAAACTTCGTCTACTGAGAAGGCGTTGCAGAGTAAACGTGCAATCAGCCAATCGTTACAGTTTTTGGCACGATCACGTGATTACCAGTGATGTGTCTCAGGGTTAAAGCATTGCAAAGTTACCACTACTAAATACAATAAGTAAACAATCTATTTATCAAATTCCTGTAATATATGTTTATAATTTCCACCCAAATATGTTAGTTGTTGATTCTAAACAATAGTCTAACGGCGTGTGATTGGAATATGCGAACGTGAATTCACTATCATAACGCATTCCTCGTTTGACAAATTTGAACTGTCTCCTAGTTCAAGTGGAAGAAGCTAAAATTACAAAACATTAACAGCGTGTGATTGGAATATGCGAACATCAAGTCACTATCTTAACACTACCATCCTTCTAGTAATGGGTCAGCCGAAAGACACGTTTTCACTTTCCAACAACATTGTTACACTGGGCGTAATTTTAGTTTTTAAATCCCATAATCCGACTTGTCAATCTCGCTGTCAGCATCCTTTATTCTACGTTTTGTCATATTACCCCAAACCCTGCAAATAGAAGTGTGCATGGAATCATGGGAAGAAACGGTATGCTTTGCTGTCATAAAGGTGATTGACATGTCATAGGGCAGTTTGAATCTACCAGATGTGCTTGTGATTTACATAACAAAGGGTGTTTACTACTTTGAAAGGACAATTGGAATCTATCAGGTGTGCTTGTGATTTACATATTAAAGGATGATTATGATCTACTAGGTTGCCTACGTGGGATAGCTGCTAACAAAACCACATTCAATTGGTTCATGTAGAAACCAGGTAGTGTACCTGGAATTTGCCTATAATAGGGTAGGCTGTGGACATTTGGGGTCCATCATTTCACTGAGTACCCTGTGTGTTATTGCGGCGATATTGTGAGACAAGTGATACAGCCTTCAACCATCATTCTGTCAGACTTATGAATTGCTCTGTGATCTCCTGCTATCAGTGGTGCCCTCCAGAATAACAGCGGTCCTCTGCAAGCAAGATTCCTGTATTTCTTCATTGTTGTGTTGCAGAAGCCATTGACTGTCATCAATTTCTACATCCTGGAACTGTGAGTTATCACCAATGTACACTTCCCTAGGCAATCCTCCTCTATTATGTCAATTTATTCATTGTATTTTTCTGTGCATTGTTACTTGTACTTATTATACTAAAGCAAGGACTTTAACTTGATATTTTGGTGTATGTGTATGTCATTTCCATTTTATTGTCTTGTCTACCCCATTCTAGCAGTGAAACAATTTCATGTCCAGTGTGAGTTCTGTGGCTGGCCCTCTCAATTGCAATAAGCGGGCCGTACACTGTAACACTTTCCATACAAATTACTCCTCAAAGCGCCCACAAGAGATCTCTACTTTAACTGGTGAAACTAAGCCCACATAAAAAGTTAAAAATAAACAAACTACAAAAAAAGAACAGCGCTATAGAACCTGTTTCTGAATTACCTGTTGTCACACATTCAGGCCGAATAATCTGAATTTTAGTTTGTTTTAAGCAATGATTTTTCATGTAAATAATGTTAGTTTGACATTCTATGTATATTTCATGTTTTTTTCCGTATTTTTGCAAACAAAACCTGTATGATTTCTCAACCAGTGTATTCTTTAGAAAAGAGTTGGCGACCACCCTTCTGCCCTCGAGAATACTGAGCTAACGTGAGAAGTGCATATTGTGAATGTGAGCTACAAAACTTACCAAATAAAAACAGACTTTTTTATTTAAAAAAAAGTGCCTTACTCTCCCAACATATATGTGACCCCTGGAGTTAAAAGTTGGGATAAATATGATAACTCAACCCTAAGGGAAAAGACATTGGATGTAATTTTTCACATGAATATGAGAAATAAAACACGTTTACTAACTGATTTTGGCGGCCGAAGAGTACAAATAAATCTTGGTAAAGTCAGTGAGCAAATTTTGTTTAAAGTAGTAGTTTATACAGTTTTTATATGAAGTTTTAGTACTCACATTCACACATATGCATAAGCGATGTTTCATTCAATATACATAAAGGTTAGAGATAAATGATTACGTGTGCATTCTGATATTCTGTGTTGTGATGGAAATCACAAATGAAAACCACAAGATATTTATATTGATGTAAATTCAAACGATATGTTAAGAAAAGAAATTAAAACCACCATTTACATGCACTGCACATACAAAAAAGGACAAGAACAACAGAAAATAATTGTAACTGTCTTACCTGTGTTTTCATTCAGTTTTTCTGTTGTATTGTATTGTCTGTTTGCAATACTACTGTTATTTTTAACGTATGAATGCTTCTATAACTACCATCATATACCACCTAACTATTTTTATCGATATTGCCAACTAATCTGTTGAATCTCTTTGTGTAACATGAAATGTTTTTTTTTTAGGATTCGTCATATCATTACGAATATTATATGTTAATCATATATAATGAAAATCAGATATAATTATTATCAATTTATTAATGAATATTAGTTCAAAGCGCGATGGTCGTCGCGCAGCACGTGTTCGAATTTAATGTAA